GCCGCGGGGTCCGCGGGGCCGCGAGCCGGGGGCCAGTCCGGGCCCGCGGGGCCGGGAGCCGGGGGGTCCGCTGGGCCGGGAGCCGGGGGGTGCGCCGGGCCGGCAGTGCTGGGCGGGCCGGGGGTGGTGGGCCGGGGCCGGCACCCCAGGGCCCAAGCCGACCCAGGCTGGCCGCCTCCATGGGGCCAGCCTGGGCCGCGCCTCCTCCCCCCACACCACCCCTTACCTGCTACAGGCTTCCCGACTCAAATTTCGCGGAAGCAGGGGAGGAGGCGGAGACTTCGGGAGGGGGCGGAGTTGGGGCGGGGGCGGGGCTGGGGCTCCTGGGGGTGTCCTCCATTTGGAGGCACAAAATATGGTAACCCTAGTCTATACCCATTAAGTCCCCCTTTTTTGGGGGGGGGGAGGGGGGGGAGGGTCTAACTCCACTATCCATGGCAAATGGATACCACAAAATTCTGAGTATCTGCTTGATACACATAGACCACTTTGTCCCCGATGGGTGCAAGTTACCCATTAGGAACACACATTAGTACACCAAAATCTACAACAGAGAATTTTAAAAACCTGTATGAAAACCACAGTCTGCTTGCACAAAATTTACCATGCAGGGATCTTGCCATTGCTTTCTTTAAGCCATTCAGAGTATTCTATAGCCAAACCAGGCCAATTACATCACTAGAGACATCTTCTGGAAATGATCTGATTCCCTCCTGTGTAGGGCCTCAACTTTACCTAAGATTTGCCTAACAAAACTTTCTATTTGCCTCAGACGATTATACTGCCAGAAACTAACACATGCGGTAATACAGTCTATTTCAGAGGTATAGAATTAACTAGTCATAGAAAGCCTATGAAATTTTTTGTATCACTTTTGCTTAGGTATTACTTTGACATGTATAGAATGTGGAAGGATGAACAAAATCTCACTATTAAACAATCAAAGCAACCCTGCAGTGATTCTTCTACCCTCTCCCCAAAACGTCAGAGTTACCTAGTGGATTTATCTCCAGGTATGTGAAATACAAGTCTTCGTAAAGGTTGAAAAGGCCAGATATGAAGCTAGCCAGGACACTGCACAAAAATTAAAATACATAAATTCATTAGAGCAGGTAGACACATAACTGACATAGAAGAGCCTGTCCCAGTTCCTTTATCATCTTTGTCTGTGGAGAAGCTACCTCCTATCCATTTCTTTCATTCTCATGGGAAGATGTCTGGGTGATGACTCAGAGGTCACTAAACCCCCACTAAAAAAAAAAAACTGCAGAGAAAATGTTCTCATCTCAAGACTGTCATCTGATTTAATCCCTTTAGGAGGCAGAAATCTCTCTCTCTGTCAGATGTGCATCTTTTGTCAGAACTCAACTTCAAGGACCATTAGCCAGAGAAAGGAAAGACTGGAGTGAACAAGAGTGGATCTAAGAGCCTGATGAGGTGGATGTCAAAAGAAGGCCTTCAGCAATTATTGTGTTTCCAAATAATGAATAACGAGATTAGTTACCGGCATCTTTTTTAACGAGATGCTTAATAGTTAGTTTTGAAATCTGAAATAAGCTTTTGAATATCAAGAGAGGCTATAAAATCTCCAGTAGCTCAACCAGGATAAGGAATCATACCTTTCCATAATCAGCCACTGGATTCAAGTAGTTTTACAAGCCCTGCAAGACACAGCAATCAGACGCTAGGAACTGTCCTGCCGCCCTTACATAAAGAATGATGGGGGGGGGGGGCGCGGGGGAGAGCTGTCCTTGGGCTGAAGGCGGATGGTAAAATATGCCTTTTGCAGCTCAACAGGAAACACAGACAACCCCAAGGAACTTAGATTGTTTGGGATGCAGTGCACATTCCTGCCCAAACTCAGAAGCTAGAGAGAGAGGGACCTTCAGGGAGAAAAATGAGGATCAACTCCACTGAAACGTGTGAGCTTTTGGGAAGGAGAGTTGGCATATAGAACATCGGGACTGGGGGCATATAGGATGTAGAATTATATCCCTGCTTACTCTTTCTTCTCCTCCAGTGCGTGCACCAAGAGATGTTTTTTCACATCAGAGGCACTGAGCTTTTCATCCACCCTCACCAAGAGCTTCTGTGCTTTGGCATCAACATCTCCCACGTCCACACCCCCTTGATGGTGGAAGAGCACATAGTCCCCCTCGCGGGCAGCATAGATGCACACGTAGAACTCTTCTTCCTGTGGCACAGATCAGGGGGATGAACATTAGCCAGTAAGTCACACCCAGCAATGGCACTGCTTAGCTAAATTTCCAGGGGTCCCCAAGTTAACTCATTGAATAACCCAACCCAGGAGTAGTTGGTGTCCATCAGAGATGTCCTTAATACATCCCAGGGAATTCTATAGACTATTACATGGCTGTGCTTGGAGGGGCAGCCTGTGGAGACTTCAGGTCCCAGCACGTAATGCTCCAGTTTGATCCCAACAGCTATTACTGGGCACATCATATCCCAGGACCTGTAGTCTCCTTGGTCAGCTGCAATCTGCTCCCATTTTAAACAGCTGAAGTATAGGCTTCAGATGCCTGTTAAGGTGCCAGCACAATCCTCAGTTGGGCAAAATGAGGGAACCTCAGTTTCAGATGTTGAAGGTAGCATACAACCAACACCACAGACTAAGGTAGGGGAAGATTATGTGCTAGCTACATCTCCCTCAATATCACGTAAATTGTCTCACTTCAGCACTCTTTCTTCTTCCTGCTTGACAGCCACCAGATTGGAGGAACAATTTATTGCCTGTTCCCATGTGATGTTTACTGCGGCAGGATTTCCTCCTGGTGGGGAGGAACAGCAACCAACCAGTGCAGCTGTAAATCTCTGTCTCCGTGCAAAGATTCTAAAGCTCTCTATTTCTCAGTGACAACATGCGTCAGCGTCATCACCTTTATGACATCCACTCAAGTGCCTGCTTTCACCACCCCTAAGAGCAGTCAGTCTGGGCCAAACAAGATTATTTTGGAGCACTTCTTTGTGTTTTAATTGGAATACCAACCTGCTTGTGAGGGACGAAGGGCTCGATCAGGAAGTTCTTAAGGATACCTGTAGCTTTAGCGATCTGTTGATAGGAGAGAGACACACCATTAAAGCTTCACACAGTATCCACAGCTAAGACATGGCAGAAACACACTCCAAGATGTCTTTAACGCTGCTCTGACTCAAATCGATTCCCAACAACCTATTGGTTGGAATGTGTATCCCTGAAACCAAGATCTCCACTTTCCAGCATGGCAGCGTGTACTATTGAGGCTATGAAGACCACTGAGCTAATCTGTGGCATTTCAACACTCAAAGGAAGCTTCAGGGAGCCTTCTCAGAGCTCAGT